CAAAATACATATATATGTAGATATATAACACTCATTAGCAACCTGATATGCAAAAGCACACCTTGTTTGCTAAAAGCAAGAGGACTTGAAGCACTTACTGATGAAGATCAAAGACGACTGTCTTCAGTATGGATTATACTTCAACATAAAGACAACACAAATCCTCACAACTGGACCAGTAAGCAAGATCATGATAATTACAGAGAAGGTTGAAGTTATCAAGGGTTTCAGTTTACTTGGATCCATGATCAAATGCCCTTGGATATAGCAGTCAAGAAATCAAATGGTTTGTTGCATTGGGAAAATCTGCTGCAACAGACCTCTTTAACATGTTAAATGCATAGACATCACTTTGAGGACTCAAGCCATGGTATTTTCAATCACCTCATATGCATGTGACTGACAACTGAACAATGAATAAGGAAGACTGAAGAAGAATCAATGTCTTTCACTTATGAAGAATATTGACTATACTTTGGACTACCAGAAATGTGAATAGATCTGAGAAGAAGTACAGCCCGCATGCTCCTTAAAATTTTCTAGAGGAGTAAAAACAATGAAGTACGTAAATATATGTATTTGTTTTGAAATAGCTCACATAGTTGTGGAGATTATTGGCAAGTCTAAATATGCGAGTCAGGCATCAGGCTGGAGGCTTCTCCTGACTTACGTGGTTGCAGGTGCTAATGAAACCACAAATGTCAGGTTAAGCAATGGAAGGCTGCTAGATCATATCCCCTAAACCAGAGATCAGCAGGATCACGTTGGAGAAGTGAGTTTTGCAAGAACATCCATATATATTGGATGCTGGCACACTCCCTAGGAAACTCCCCTTACATCATATCAGAAATGAAGGATAATTACCCAATACTGAGAATTATGGCCTAGTCAAGTTGACACATAACATTAACCATCAAGCATCTAATGCAATAAACTTCATCAGCATTTGATAACTTACCTTTTTCTTGTTAAATATGCTATTGAAAGAGAAGACCTGGCTCAGGAATTCAAGAATTCTTTCTGATCATTTATCCTAAAGTGAAATTGGTGGTCAGAATATTGAAAGTTCATCTGTTCAGATAAGGCACACCAGATCTGATCTGGGGTAGATCCATGTACTACTTTCAATGTTGAAATAATAACTCTTCTTACTTATCAAAATCAAGTATAGAAATCATGTCTATCTCGTATGTCAGGATGTATCCATGACAGTCAAATATTTATTTTTTCAAGTTTACTTTCTGAGAGGTATTTACTAGAGCCAAGAGGAAATTTCCTTTCTGTAAAATTTGCTTTCAAAACAAGGCTTTCCTATATCTGTGCAATGACCTCAAATGCAAGATACTTACAATTGAATTCTGTTGTCGAATATTCTAAACACTAAATGTAAGGGTCTAGGGGCAAGCAAAACCTTTTGAATTATTTAACATCAAAGCTTAAAAGTAAATGGGCACACCAACCTTGGAAACTTAGCATTCTGAGAGTAATATGCATCCCATGCCATGGTTGGTCTTCAGCATCCTACAAATACCCACCCATCCTAAATAACTAGCAACTAATACCAGATTCTGGTGTGGCACTGTGGATTAATGCTCTGGACTGCAAGGTTGGTTTAAACTGCAAAGTCAGTGGTTCAAGCTTACCAGTCTCTCCTCAAAAACCCTATATAGGGTCACTATGAGTCGGAACCGACTCACAGTATTTAAAAACAATAACATAGGGAATATGACATGTTATCACGATGGACCAGTCCCTGTAGAAGAATACCATGCTTGGTAAAGTGAAGAGATGTTGAAAAGAGGACAACCCTCTAAGTGTTCCATTCTGTTGTGCATAGGGCCCCTGTGAGTCTGAACCAACTCAACAATACCTAACAACAAGAACAAATACTGAATATCAGAGTCCTGGTGTTGTGCTGTAGAATAAACACTGGACTGCTCATAAAGGTTTATGGTTCAAACCCACCAGCCGTTTCTCAAAGACCCTATACAGGGTCAGATGAGTCAGAATCAACTCGATAGCACTTAAGAACATCATACTGGATATCTCAAACATGAGGTCAACTTGAATTCCTTTGGAAGGGAAAATGACAGTTGAATGCCATTTTTTAGCATCTATAGACAATAGCTAAGGAGCTCTGGTAGCGTAGTGGTTACGAATCGGGCTGCGAACCTTAAGGTCAGCGGTTCGAAACT